GCGCTGAAGAATGGAGACCTGCCTCGTAAAGCTGCCGCCGCTGCCTCAGCTCTGTGTCCCTGTGAATGTTTTAAGCAATTAGACACTGGCATCACCTCACACCACCACAAAGCCATGTATAATCACCCTTTTACCACCATCATCATCGAAACCTTAACTCCACACAGCAAAGCCCTGAGTGTTGTTGGAGGTTGGTGCCATTCCCTACTCATAGTGAGAGAGAGCCAGCACCACAGAAACGCTGCCTAATTGCAAAAGCTATCTCCGGATTTTAACAGCGACCACTGTATCGAGCCAGTGGTTCTCAAACTGCTCCACCGAGAACTGGGGACTGCCGAGTACTTCCTGTAGGTCGGTGGTTGCCCGGGGCCATGTGAAGAGTCAGGAGATGTGGCTAACATGACTGTCATCCCTGAAGTTGCCAAAAGCCACCTGGAGCGGGAAGAGCCGTTGCTGTCGGGAGTAACAGCCACCTTCATCAGGAGGCAGAGATGAACCAAGGACCTGCTGCCATGAGGAGCTTCAGGCAGGAAAGGGGGAGCAGGGCAAGTGATTGTGCCAAAAGACGAAGATCTTGCTGTACGCCCGGGGAAAGAGAAGGAGATATCAATTAAGGATAAAGACTAAGCCCTCCAGCCGCCCTTCACCCATGGCATCCGCAAGGTGGACGATATTTCCTATGCTGAACTACACAGCATTAGGAGAGCAGGTCAGGTTGGAGCCGAGTGGAAGACAGCAAGTGTGGAGCGAGCTGAGCAGATGGAAGGGGAGAATAAAAAAGCTCACCACCAGACACAGCTGAAGATGGGTGGAGAGCCAAGCTAAGCAAATGGCATGGGCAAACTGAGCAACCAAGGCAGATCAGGAGAGGAGGCAGCAAAAAACAGAACAAACAAGCAAAACAAAGCAAAGGGAAAAAAAAAATATGGTACAGTGTTCCACTTTGTGGGGGGGGGTTATGGGTTTTGTTGTGTGGGGGTTTGTTTTACATAAGCAGACACAGGAAGGACAGATATCCTCCACAGAATCCCAACCTAAGCATAAGAACAAGTTTGAGAACCACTCTGATAGAGGTCGATGTGACGGTCTAACAGCAAGCACCAACATTTCTGTTTCACCTTTCGCACTTGCAGTCTTTTCCTCTTCAAGGAAAAAAAAAACAATAAAAAAAAAAAAAGGCACTTGGAAGTGCTTATTCCCACAGGGGAACCAGCTGCAGGTAAAGCAGTCAGCACACCTCTTTGTATTTCTTTCTGAACACTAAAACAACACATGGGCTGTTTTCCCCTTCAATATGTCACTGGAAATTTTCCAAATGAACATGCTAGTTAGTTAAATACAGTTTGTAGGTTCCATTCATCAAAACTTTCTTGACATCTCGAGTATCAGTTGTCACAAACTTGAAAGATAGGTAGCAACTACATGGTAGGGAACAAAAGAGAAGATCATTACACAGGAAGCCAGGCAACATTATATTTTCTTTTTTTACCTATCTTAAGAGAAACCCTAAACATGTTTCCTTAATACTTGGGAGAATTCAAGAGGCATTAGCACCTACGAATAAGCTGCTCACTTATTCAGTGGTTTAAATCAAGACAACTTTCCATGAGCAAAGTACCTTCTACAACTGCAGCGTAACAATCTTGATGCTGAAGACAAGGGTTCCTGGTGCAAAACCCACTACAGACATGGATTGACAGTGGCTACTGATGCCAAGAGGTTGAAAAACTGAATAAAATTATTTAACTGCTTGGCACCATGTAGTTCACATAATGCATCAGGAAAGCTTGAATCTCAGCACCAAGAATCAACAAAACAAAAACCCAAGGCAAACTGTAGCTTTAATTCCTTGATGGTGCCCGAAGTAGGGAATTCTTAGAGTAAGACATCCTAACCACGGGCACTCTCACATCAGATACAGCCAAGGAAACTGCTTCTTCCACGTGTGGCTGTCTTGAAGTTTGTTTGCTGGGCTTTTCCTTGGTTAAGTAGGTACAAGACATGCGTCTGAAAGGGTTACTTACGTCATCCACCTCCAGAGTCTGTCAATGAAAACAAAATAGGTACAACAGGTCCCCAGTTCGTTACCTGAGCTCTCCGAGAAGTGATGATATCGTACTCAGAGTCGGCCCGTTTTCCTTTTTTGCTTCTGCTGTTGCAATCTGATAAAGCAACTTTTCCATTGAAAATGGTTTGGCGATACGTCGTCTCTTCATTTCCTGGGACAGAAATCGCCAAATTAGTTCTTGAGCAAATTTGAAAATAGAAGGTTACCAAGAATGGCTTCAATGTAGCCAAAAGGAGCCTTTAAAGCCACCAAAAGTAAAAGCTTTCCGTAGTCCAAATTCAGCAAAGTATTTATGTTCCAACTCACAACCACCACTAACTACATGCTGAAACAAATGCTAATTATAAGTAAATCCTTCCAGTGGAAAGCCAGGTGCCCAAGGGCTTTGCTGAATTGGGTCCTCCTGATGAAAAGACTATGAAAGGAGATTTTCTGCTTGTGCTTTACGTGAACCAATGGCATAGAAAAAAGCTTGAAACCTTAAACCAAACACATGCTACCAGCCATCATAATCAACTGCTTTCTTGGAGAATACCCTCCTGCCTGTTACATCTAACATTCTGTTTTCAAGTCAACAGTAGAGAGCAAAAAAGCATCTGCAATACATGATGGCATATATGAAAATATGAACTCAATCTCTATGCTATCTTTCCTTAATATGCTTCGCTGTGAAATTTAATTCAGGAAAAAAAGATAGGCAAAGTCTGCATCTACAAAGAGAAAGAAGCAAAATGCAAGTACTCCAGTGTGACCACGTTTCAGGTACACCCTTTTTTCAAAGAATAAAATTAAACTTTATCAGTGGGCAAGACCAGGAGAGATGTCCCCAAAATGAGAAAAATGAAGAGAAGGATGCCCAGGCATAGGTTAGCCTGCAGTTCAGCAAAGTGGAGGAACCAACAAACACCTCAGAATCCTCTTCCTAAAAACTAACTTTTCTTGTGGAGGCCAAGAGGAGTAATGTGATCACTATGTGCACTCTCAGCCATCCAGTGAGATCTGTCCTTCTGACCTGCTTGAAGCCCAGGGCTGCTGTTATTTTCGATCTTTTAAAACATTAAAAGACATCAAGCCAAATAGGCAGATGTCAGGGAAAAAAGACAAAAGGTAAAAGGAGAAGGTTCAGTTCTGCTCAGCTTTGTTACCTGTTCCTTGCTGTGTAAGCTTTTAAAGCTACTTCCCTGTCAATATGAACTGAGTGATTTTGGTAGCTTAAACCCTTTTGATAATCCTTATTTAGGAAAATTCCTTGATTGACTGTGCAGTTCATAGAATCATAGAATATTTAGGGTTGGAAAGGACCTTAAGATCGTCTGCTTCCAACCCCCCTGCCATGAGCAGGGACACCACACACTAAACTATGTCGCCCAAGGCTCTGTCCAGCCTGGCCTTAAACGCCTCCAGGGTTGGAGCATTCACAACTTCCTTGGGCAGTTGGGAAAAGTGTAGGGTTTTCCCAAGTATCTGAAGAGGTATGTTTTGTTAGTGTCATTTGAAAACTCTGACCCTGTGTAAAGCAAAACATACTGAACTGTACTGGCCTTAGTACAAATCCCTGAGGAATGCAAAAAGAGACCTCCCCCATGATAAAAACAGACCATCTGTTCCCATCCTCTGCTTCTCTTTAAATCAGTTACTTTTCTGGTGCATGAACTTTCCCTCTCAACCCTTGGCAGGTTAATTTCTTTAAAAGCTCATTCCAAGGAACCTTGCCGAAAGTCTTCCAGAGATGCTGACAGACTCTGCCAACTGGATCTCTTTTGTCCATGTATCCAAAAGTTTCACAGCCTGGGGGCCATGCCCTCACTGCAAAAGCCATGTTGATTACCCTGGTCTTGTTCTCTTCTCTATTTATTTGTTCTTTTGGCCTTTAGGAAGTTGTTCTTTGAAACCTCTTTTTGCTCTGCCTTTCTGTGTGTTTACATGCATCTTGCTAGAGTGATTGTTTTACTTGTATTTTAATCTCCTGCACACAAAAGGGTTTTTTTTGTCTCATTTCAAACAGACTTCTTTCCTCTGGTGTTAGGCATGCCAAGTTTAGTGGGGGTTTGCCTTTTGAACTCTTTTGGTTTTTTGCTAGGCAATGTGCATGTGTTGTGAGCCTCTAACACAGCATCTTTAAACAATTTCTATGCTGCACGCAAATGCTTAACCCTTCTTTCTGCATTCTCAATTTAACAAGCTTCCTTGGTTTTATGCAAGGCTGTCTTTTGAAATGAAACACCACAGTAGTGGATATTTCGCGGTTTACTGCTCTTTCAGGGTTCTTAATCTCTGCTCACCATCACAGTGCAGCTATTTGACAGTGATGTTTTGAGCTGGGCTCCACCACTGCTGAGAAGCGAGATGACAGTTTCTTCTCCTTGCATGGATTTCCTAACTAGCTGCTCTCTGAAGCCATTTCTGTTCTGGCACCACACACAATACAACCACTATCCTAGCTAGGGGGAAGAGACCAGCATTTCCCGTTATCATCATCTGTCCTGTCCTCACAGGTTTTCCCACCTTCTTTAGCATGACACAGGCTGTGTCTCCACACCGTAACAGGATGGTGAAGCAGGAGTGGATGTGCAGAGTGATACAGTTCATGCTGAGGAGCCAAACACCCACTGTGCATGTGCATGTGAAGCCAGTGGCTTCAATTTAGAGCAGTCTAGCCCGGTCCTGTGGCCACATTGCCACTGGTGTTTGGAGGGCACTTCTGGAGTGCCTCTTCCCATTTGGTTTCATCTAAAAGCAACCCAGTCTTCTCAGGCTAAGGCAGCTCTGTGATAGGAACCAAGGAGTGGTCGTTGTGTGACATTATAAAGGCATATATATTCCTTAACCAAATTAAAACTTGTTGGGGGGATACATATAAAGCCCCTGCCAGCATACTGGCAGTAAACTAATACTACTGGCAGTAAATTAATACCATGCCTTTCCTATTTAGGACAGGAAGATCAGGGCACAGGGATTCTGTCGCTGGTGACAGAGTTAAACCTGGATTATTTGACTGTAAAATCTCTCTTCTGTATGCAGCAGTGCTACTCCAGCTGGATGACTAACTCCATCTTTCCTATGTACTTCTTCCTCTTCTGTTACAGTACCAGCTGGGTCTCCTCTTTTCACCGAGTTCCTGGGGGGCCCTGTAGCTCAGCAACCTGGTTCCACATATGGTTTAGGTGAAAACTCTCTGTCCCTTTACACAGGCTTTATACTAACTCTTCTATTTCCACAATTATCCTAACTCCTTACAGACTGAAATCAATGCCATTTCAGATGCAGAATTTCATTTTTTCCATATATTAAAGGAGATTGAGCAGTCGTTCGATACAGAAATGAAACAACACTGTTTAGTAATATAAAGGGAGTCACTATAAAAAAAATCAGGTCACAGTATCACAGAATGAAACCAACATTAATGTATCAAACAGCTGAAAACTGTCAATATTGCTGTTGAGTACAGACAGACAGGAAGGTACAGCTGTCAGAGTTCCAAAATGGGAGTCTTGTTCACTACACAGAGCATCTCACCACCTCTGAAAAGCACAATCCCAGCCCACGTTTGAAAATGGCAAAGTGCCTTGCCAAAGTGGAGTAACCAAGGAAGAAATTCCAGAATTTAAGGGAGTTAAGAACATAGGATAGTTTGAGGAAAGAAAAGGGGGAAGGAAAATAAAAGAAGGAAAAGCAGAGTGCAGTAGGTGTTTACAGAGTTACTTTGATATAAACACATCTCTGTGGTTCTTCTAAAGTTTGTGAGAGCTGTGACTTCAGTTTCCAAGGTAGATTATCATAGATTGGAATCTGCTGGATTTTCAGGCAGCTTATGTTTACCCAGTGAAAAGCTCTTAAAAGTTAATCAAAAGAAACTGTTCTTCAGAATTTGAGGCACCAAGAAGAGCTTTTTAATTGCTGCATAGTGATTTCTGTCTTTTACAGGAGTGGCATTTTCACAATGTCAAACAAGTGTTCAGGAGAGCAATAAATACAGCATATGGAGTTAATATAATTGTGTACCTTCAGACAGAAAAGGTTAGCTCAGGATTCTCATTTCTTGTCTATACGCATATACAATTCCCACCTTCCCCCAAAATAAATCTGTAATAAAATAACCTTTTATTTCAAACTAAGTTAATATTCAGTTAGTATAACCAGGCAGGAAAAATTCCATTAACCCTAAAGATCCAAAAACCTAACTGCGGACATATTACATTTAATTACTTACTAACCACTTGCTCTCAAGAATGATTATTTACTAGTGGTTTAGCTAAAAAACACTACCAAAATAGCATCTGTAACCCATAGCGGATTTGAGGAGTTTGGGAACACAATTAGTGACATATATTCTTTGTCCAAGACCACAGAAATGTAGACAAAATCATGATGACTGGATAATTCACACCTGTTGGTTTCGGCAGGCAACCTGCCTCAGTTAGTTGTGTGAAAAGGGAATGGGAAGGGGGTTTTATTTACATCTTAGTATCGGATGCGAACCTAAGGTCTGTGAACCTAAGGATTTTCAAGTTGATTAAAATTGAAATTGCCCTGATCAACAGCTTTTCCTGAATGAATGGGCAGAGAAAGACAAGCAATACAGCTGTATTAACTGACTCTGCCTATCACAGGAGCTACTAAGCACAGTTATTCAGATATTTGCACCTGAGATTCTAATGGCTCTAGAAAACAACACTTAAAATTAGTAAGCGTAATACAATATACATACAATGTATTATTGTCAGCTCTGAAGGGATTTTTGAAAAGCTTCCTCGCTTTTTTCATGCCTTGCAGACCTTTTTTCTTTTTTTTTTATTTGATAGTCCACAAAATGAGATGCAGTTGTACTAGTCTCACAACGCTATCAGTGCCGGAATGTCGGTTTAGATGGCAGGGCCATGAATCCATTTTAACTCCTTTTCTCAACTTACCTTGGCTGTTTTAAACCCCATACTTGTCCACTGGGTGGTAGCAAAGTGCACTGTTTCAGAAACACTATAGCCACAACACACTTTGGACACAAAGGATCCAGGAAAACAGACAACGAACTGCCCGCTCTGCTGTACAGTACGGTGCACCCTGATCCCCTCCTTACACAAGATTTCTGGGGAGATCTAGAAAGACATGAAAGCAAAACAACAAGAAAAAAAAGAAAAATCAATCAGAACTTCATTTACACTTAGATCCCCCTTCCTTGCTGGGTACTGCCACATCCTACTTGTGTGCTCTGCTAACAGCTCAGCAGTGTTCACTTTCTCTCTTCCCTTCTGCACATGCTGAAGATTAGTGTTTGGGGTGAGAACTGCAGAAGTGGCCCTTCTGAAACCAGCAGTTTAAACTTCCACTTGTCAAACAATCTCATAGGCAAAGCCTCAAAACAGTACTACCCACTACTACAGAAAGTAATGCAGACCATTTGGTTTTCCATATAAATCTTTTCAGACTTGGTATTGAATCATCCTTGCTACTGCACTTTTGTTAACATGTCAACATGAATAGCTGAAGGAGGGTTTTTGTTATGGGCTCCCAAATTTGTATTTACATGCACTAAATACAAATTGTTATCCACAAAATAAACAAGGGAGCCAAAACTACTGAGAAATCCTTCTGAGTATTAAGCTTCTCATATCCATGCTGACTTCATAAAATGTCAGTCACGGCAGATTAACTGATTACAAAACAACTCCCTTTGTGAGGTTAAATACATTGTGGTCAGTATTAAAAATGGGTATTTATTGCATTGTCACATTTAGTTTTATTTCAACATTTTAACATGTGAGCCTTGTTAGAAAAATGCCATGTGGGTAAACACTGCAATTAGGAAGTAGCCAGATTTTAACAACAGCCTCTGCACCATTGTAGTGTAAGACAAAACCAAAATAAACCCCCAAACAACCAGCCTCCTGATTAACCTTGTATTCTCAAATGGGAATACCTCTCCGAGTGTTAACCTACCATTACATTACTTTCAAGCATTTCCAGCCCTGGAGTGCCATTGGCTTGCAGCAGGGGATGTACCACATCATCAAGTTTTGGAATGCAATACCTGTTGTTTTGTCAGAGGAAAAGAGAAAAGATTTACTGTCCACAGTAAATAAATAAATAATAACTAAATAATGGTCCACAGCTACACAGGAACAGGCAATTCAGACCACAACATTGATTAAAAGTTAAAGAGAGGCTTTTCCACACAGTTCTTTTTGGTAAAACACTAAGCATTCATGGAATGCTGTTTATTTAGATTCAGTCTGATGGTGTTCACTAGATGCCAAAGGACACAAAAATCCCCAAACGAGAAATGTTAAAACTCTGTAGAATTAGAGGAGAGAAATCAGTAGTAGAATAATGTTCATTTTAATGGCACCAAAACAGCTTATGAGCAGAAGTTGGCATCTCATGAGCACCAATATATGTTCTGTTATCTTTATCCTAAATGGCTGCATTTATTACCTGTGCATCACCCAAGCAATCTTTCTATTTAATAACATTTTCTGTTTACAACAATGAAGACACCACAAATCACCTTTACTGTTAAAACACAAAGTATCCTAAGAGCTTCCTGCCTTGATTACTAAATAAATCCCACATCCCTTCCCTTCCTTGCAACAAAAGACCTGACTCAGAGCAGCCAAAGCAGCAAGAGAGATTTAAAACTTTGCTGGGTGCATGCCGAGTTCCACATCCTCCTCTCCTTTAGAAGCCAAGGAAGCACCTGTCCTCTCTGTGCTCACTGCCAGCAGTGCTCCCTATGCAGAAATGACAAGAACCTAAGAGTCTCAGGTCTTAGCTTCACACATCCAGAGAACTGCTGTTTTGCTGGATGCAATATGGTGACAATTAGTCACTACTCTTGCTTGCACCCTGCTAGAAAGGTGTCTATGTCCACCTACAAGTTACCTGTTCCCCAAGATCTGGTAGTTGGTACCTGATAACTTCAAACTGAGCAGTGCAGTTTGCTGGGAAACACACTGCACATCCTGGGATTCCCAAACCTCCCTTGCATTGCTGCCATGCTATGCTTTATCTGTTACATTAGTTTCTTCAGATTTGTTAAGGGCAAGTAAAAAGCATCTCTAGATTTATCATGACTTACCAGTTCACATAAAGCAATGAGACCTCAACCATTTGCCCCCAGCATACACATATAAAAGGATTTTGGGGAAAGGGTACAGTTTCCTTGTCATCCATCTGGTCTCTCTGTCAATTTCATAAAGCATTCTGCTGGCCTTACAGGCCTCCTTAGGGTATTTGCTTATAATGTGCACTAATATTAACTCTGTATGCATTATAGAGAGTATCCTGCTTGGTGAGTCTGTAGGAGGCTGTACTTCCTATGATTTGAACATCTTGTTACTGTTCACTGTACTGATGATGACTTTGATGTGTTTTTGTTGATCTTCAAGCCAAATGCAGGAGAGATGACAGTATCTGCTCATACAGCTAATTGTAGCTGCGATAAGGGCTCTAATGAGCTGGTTGCCTGGGTGTACATAGACTGATAACTTACGCATATATTGACAACGATCAGGACCTTGCTAAAAAATCCTATGATTATAGAGAAGTGAAGAACTTTAACTTGATAAGGTTGAAATCCTAACAGCAATTTTAAATGCATGTCACGTATCAAATACTTTGCAGTACCTGTGTTGCTAACAGTGAGAGCTTCAGAACAGCTCCATGTCTGTAGCATATTACTCTAGTTACACTATAATAAGATATTTTAAATGGTGATGAAAATATTTTCAGTTCAAACCCAGAACACTGCAGAGGCCTCCCTCCCTTCCTTCCTCCCTTCCTCCTCTTTCCTTTTAAGAGTCAGAAAATACAGCTGGAACAGCCAAAAGATTCAAGCATGCAGTCCCTCACAAGATGGGCCCAGGAAAAAGCAGGGTAAAGATGTGTGAAGAGGAGGGGTAGCACAGAAGTGCATGGGACTATCTGACTACTGTCAGGGCTGAGGGGAATGGAGATCCTTTGCAACTGTGGTATATGCTGCGATTTCGCTCATTTGCAATTCTTGATTTACCTGTAAAAATGGGATGTGAGCAGCCAGTACAGACTTCTGAGTGTCTTGGGCAGAACTAGGTTCTCCTCACTCTTTTAATGGGCACTGAGGATCCCTCCAGAATAAAAAAGTTAGGTGACTGAGCTCTGCCCTACATGCAGATTGAGTTCTCCCCTGTTTACTCTTCAGGAGGTAAAACCTGAGGGATTAGAGAGTGGCCTCAGCAATCTGCATGTAAATGAAGCACCACTGATTTTAGTACCACAGGGATGTGTCCTCGGAAGAGAAGATTTCTGGATGCTGGGTGGACTTTCAAGACAGAAGAGAGCTTTGATGCCCAGTAGCCTGCTTTGTTATCACTGAAGCAGCCACCAAAAGCAATGCTGTCAGGGCTACTCCAGATATTACACCAGACCTAGTTATTAAACTCTTCCTCATAAAGTTGGATACTTTATTGCAATATTAAAAGTTGTAATGAGTTAATAATGAATACTAACCTGACACTTCAGCCTGGCAGCCTTGCCAAAGAATAGCTTTTACAGACTAAGGAGTTTCACTTCTTCCTTCTTCTGAGTTATTACATGTTACCAATGCGTCATCAGGGCAATCATCACAATACACCTGAAGCTATGTACTTGTGTTTATAAGCAAGCCCATCAAGAAAAAGCAAATGGCTGCTTTGGTTTTATTCTTCTCAGCTTGGAAAAACAGATAGTAGCCTTTCCTAAAACTGGATGGCTGCATTCAAGCCTGTTCAATCCCAAAAGGCACATTTTGATATGTACAGTATGAAGAGAGTGGCCTCAGAACTTAATTAGGGGAATTCCTGAATGCCTTTAGTTTGGAATTTACTGTCATTTCAGACTAGATGAATGTAATAGAGAAAAACAGATTCGCCTAAGGTTGAGGACCATGTAGCTTGCTCAGCAGTTTGTCCTGATAGTATATTATTATAAAAGATTACAGATTCCTGATTCACGGAAGAGAGAGAGGAGCCACAAAATGCTCATGACAGAAAGGAACAAACTGCCAGGTATGCAGCATAATCCAGCATTTACCTTTTACCCCTTAAGTATGATCACAGACAGAACATTTCTCCTACTTAAAATATTTACAGAGAGGAGCTCGTGCTTTAATGGTTTCCTCCAAGAGTTCGAATTCTTTTTTTGTGGGACACGTGCTTTCCCAGTGACAGCTGGGTCAGCACCTCTGACATGAGCAAGTGGGAGTTAAAGGTAATGGCCAAAGTACACACTTTGCATGTGAATGAAGAGCAGCTGACACTGCCACAGCCTCCACTGGGACTTCTGGATGCAAAGGGGGCCTTCGCCAGGCCTTCTTCTGTCACACCACCCAAGGAGCCAAAGGTTCCCTCAGTTCAAGAAGGGAACTGCTGGAACTGTTGAAAGGGAACCAGCTTCTCACCTTTGCAGGGGACATCACTTAAGTAACTTTTCTTCTCTGTTTATTGTATTTTCTCTCATCAAGAAACACAGTTACACTGCTTATCATTCGTTGTTCTCACTGATAATCCTCTTGGGTAATAACGCCAATCACAGTGACCTGGCAGAAAGGCACATGACGTGCCAGCAGCACCTGCTTCCTTTAATCCCTCCATCAGCTGTTTTACTTCCATTGCAACCTAAGTCATCATCATCTGCAGTAGTATGTATGCACTGAATTCAGGAAGAATTCACCACATTCAAAAACATTTATAAGCTGTGTGTTAAGTCTATTTGCACGATGTGTCTACCAAATATGAAATGTAGCTAGCAACTAACTGGTGTCCACAACGAGACGCTAGAATGATGTGTGTAATCATATTAAAAATTATTATCATGATGAAAAAAGAGAAAACACTAGGGACCCGATAGATAAAGAATTCAAGATCTTTTGCATTAAAAAGGACAGCACTGCCTATTTAGTCAGAGTGTGGGTTCAATAATTTTACAAGTGGCAATATAGAGCTTACTTGACAAGTGCTCTTTGTCAGCCTAAGGAAAGTCTACCTTGACTAGCTGTCATTTGACTTCCATGTCATGAAAACTTTCCACAGATTAAACCGTGTGTCAAGCAGAAACAGTTTATTACTAAATATCTCACAACAGAGCGTGGAAGATAAAGTGAAATTTTTCTTCCAGGAAAGGACATTCCATCACCAAAGTGATGAAATTTTCACATTAAAACTGTGGCCACACACACTGGGCCTTTCTAGGTGAGATTCATTCATGCAAGAGGTACTAAACAAGCTGCTATTAACACCAACCTACAGACAGCCACTGCAGTGAATGCAAAGAAAAAACACAGGAATACCTACCAAATGCAATCAGCACCAGTGTGTAAGTAGTCAATGTATGGAAGGTGATTTTGGTCTCGAGACCAGCATGAGGTAGAAAAGACCATGCCAATATTTAGCCAAGGAATTGTCACTCCTAAAACAAAGAGATTGAAAATGAGTTATGATTAACTGCGGTTTCTAATTAAAACACAGTTTGAGAGGGCATTTCTGTTGAAAATATTTTTCTATTTGCAAGCTGACCCTTAAGTTTTAAGTCTTCCTACCAGAGTGAGTAATTCACACAGAATAATTTAACAAATCCAGCATTCCCACTAACAAAATATCTACCAGCCAATTACATCGCCTTTGAACATACTTGTTTTCTAATAGCTGTAAACATTTTTTATCCTTTAAAAATGTACAAATACTTCAATTCAAGCTCAGTGGCATTGATCAGAGGAGGTTGTTTCATGTTGTCAAGCATACGTGTACTTGTAAACAGATACCGTGTTTCCCAGCTGGTTTGTTCAGGCTCAAACACACCTGCACGGGAGACTGCGTTATGCTTTCAGCTAATGTTTCTACCAGTAAATTGCAATGGTACATATGTAGCTGGAGCACTCATGACAATTCATTTAGAAAACTTGTGTGCTGCTCTTCCCAGCCCCACAGACTAGGTTTGCAAGTAAAGAATTGCACAGCTCTACCCTTTGCCGCACTGACACAAAGCCAGAACACCGATGTACTGGTGACAAGAGAAAGTGATACTGCAAGTACCACTGGTTCCTCCCAGGTGTATGGTCTCAACTATATTCATTAATTCTTTATCTGCACACCTGCCTTCATTCCTTTAAATACCACATGCTACACGCAACTGCATGTCTACCTGGTCAGCCAGTGAACAGAGGGGCCGGGAAGAGAGAGGCAACTTCAGAGACTACACAACCACATTTATAGAGGACACTTGTTCCTGCTGCAAACACAGAAAAGAGACTTGCTTACCAGGCACAGCACCAAGATGTCGCAGGATGGATCCTGTATTATTAGGAAGGACTGTGAGGTTCCACCCATGCCTGTTCGAGGGGTGACACAGAGGCAGATACATGTCAGAGCACCTTCCTGGTGCAAACATCCCCATCACCAAACTGCCCTGCTGGCCTTATGCCCCCACCTCTGCTCAGCACAACAGGGTAGCTGACATGAGCCAACAAAGCAGACGGATTTGGTGATCTTACCTTGAAAATGGTTCAGATTTTCCCACGGGAAAGCCACTCCCGTGGGTGTTGGTATCTACTTTTCCACAATGCACTGCTACATGGCAATCTTTCTGTTCCACTATCCTCCAATACTCTTGCTGTGATAAGAGAAAGCAGTAATGCATTTTTAATTCACTGAACAAGGTATCTCTCATTAAAATATAAGCTCCAGAAATTTACAGGGCTTTCATGACCTCAACATTGTTCAACATGAAACACTGTTTAAAAATAAGAATATAAATACTTAAAAGTAACAATGAATTGGGAAGACAGAATTTAGATCCTCCTGGCTCCTGTGCTTCAGCACATGACAGATTAAGACTTCTTTCTCTCCCTCAGTTCGTCAACACCTTTATTAAAAATGTCAAACAATTTTAAAAGGAAGAATCAGTACCATGCCTATCTAACCATTTATTTTTCTCCTACACTAGACAGCCTTAAACTGCTTATACTAATGCCTGAATGTCAACTATACTGAATCCCTAGACTTAATCTCCTGAAATAAAAACTTTTACCACCCCTTGTGTTGGCCTCACCTCTACTTCAGCTACTGTAGGCTCCTTTGTGAAGCACATGTTCATGATGTTTCTTGCTGTTCGGTAGAAGGTTGTTAAAGAAACAGACCTACCCTGTGGAAAAAGAAAATAAAATTAAAAATGAAAAAAACCCACCTGCCTCCATTCCCCCTGGCCTCACTCTTTTCCTTACATGCTCAATCCCAGATCACAGTAGGGGTAAAGAGAAAAATGTCTCCAGAACACGTGTGGGTCTAAAGCTCATTTCTTATCTGAGGGAAAATACATCAAAATATACTGAAATTTAACCACATCCAATCACCAAGCCAACCATCTAAATGGCCAATTGGACATTCCCAGAAGACCATGTACACTGCTTTGTCCAGCACGATGCTCTACATTTGATAAACACAGAAGACAGACACAGCCCAGCTGTCTGCGACAGGTTGCAAGGGACCCAGCATTTTACAATCAAATCCAATACCCGATCAAAGGGTTGTGTGGCTACACTCTTTACATAAAGAAACAGGTAAAAGACTTTCACAGAATTCACAGAAATGTTCAGCATCAAACTAGTATTGTATGTGATGGAGGGGGGTCACAAAAAGTAGAGTTTACCAAGATTACTGTAATCACCTGCTTACAAAAACAGGTTATACTCGATTCAGTAAAAGCAGTTCAAGAGCAATGAACCAGGACCTGTTACTACAAGGCTGAAAAAAGTAAAACACAGTAAAATTGCCAAATGAGCGCACTCTTCCTTGGCACTGCTGCAGGAGCTGCACAAGAAGTTCTGATTTGAGTTTCTGGATACCTGCTTTCACACATACCTATAACAACAGATGCTCTGGGAAGCATCCTCTGACGGCTTTGAAGGCAGGAGTATGAGAACCCACTTGCTCCTTTCAGCCCAGACAGGGACACCCCTACTGACGCCTCTGCTCCAGGGCAGAAGCAGCATCCTGGGAAGCAGTGAGCCACGAGAGATGGCAGGCGCCACACCGGCTGCTGTGGCCATACTGGTTTGCGGGCACTGCTGCAGGTAGAGACTAGCACCACTTTGCAGCCGTGAAGTTGAAAATACCTTTGCCCCCCTGCCAGATCTACCACTTCTCACTCCCTTCATGTCCACTGGTTGCCCATCTGAGCAACCACAGACTTAAGAACTCCATGTTTAATGAATGTTTTATTACCCAGACTATTACCTTTCTAGTTTTTCAATTATGAAACAGATCTGCCAAACCACCTCAGTCTTTTCTTGTGTTTAATTTATTTAAGAACTATGCCCAGGAGTAAACCAGAAACAACTATACAAGCAGCTTTTCCCCAGAGGCCAAGTCTCTCACTTTGCCATGCTCCTACAGTTGTAACATTGTCACTTTTTTAATTGAATGCAGCATAATTAGCTGCAACAAAAAAAGTTTGTGAAATGCCCAGGGCCTGGGGCCCTCCGATTCCCATAAACTTCAGAGTTGGATGCCCTGCAATACAATAAGCAATTTCCTTCATCTTTTAATGCCCTCATGAATCATTTATTGAGGCAGCCTTTTACAACAAAACCTCTCGTAAAACACAGGGCCCGCACCAACAATCATCACAATTTAGCATAGACTTCGCTGCTCACAAACTAACACATGCTCTGCAGCAGCTTCCTCAATTCAGTTATGTGCCTCTTCCTCTCATCTTACACAGAAAAATAAGGACTCATCTCCCAAGAATAATCATTTCTTTCCATTTTTCAGATGTGCACCAAGCAACAGAAGAGTGGGAAAACTGATCAGTTTAGCCCTTTATAATTGCATATACCCATATCTTCCTCTATCAAGAATTTGGTACCTTTTTAGTCTCCTAAAAGTTGTAACCCAAATGAAACAGTTGAGGGGGGTTTGTTGGCTGTTTTGTTGCTTGGTTCATTTTTTTTAATCTGAGGGATCTCATAAGATCCTCTAATACCAACTCCGAAAATAATTTAAAAGGCTGTAACGAAGCACTTTAACCAGAACAGAAAATGAACTGCTGAAGCGTAAAATACCCTTTCCAACACCCTCAAAAATATCTCAACAGTTCAACTACTGTTCTGGGAATTTCAAGCTACTGAGCAGAGTCTCTGTTGCTGTGACAATACAACGGAGGAAGGTTTAAGGAACAGAATTTCCTGCTTCCTCTCCTGATTCCTCTCCGTGGCCTCTGTGTTGGCCATGAGAACCAACCCAGAGCATCACCACCACCACCACTAAGTCTGGAGGGAAGGCACGGAGAAGGATACCGCAACGCTACAAATGTTATAGACATTAAAGCAACCATAGATACGGGCAGAAAACAGATTTCACAATAGTCACAGGCAGGATGGAGGGACTCTTGTTAAGCAGAGAGTGAAAACGCTGAGTCCCTGGCTGAAGGGAGCTCAGCATGGGATTCATGGGACAGTTTAATGTGAGTGCTGGCAGAACTTTCATTGGTGACTTCTTCTGTGTGCCCCTCTAACGGGTCTGCTAACAAGCCTTTAGTTTGTTCTGTACTGAACAAAGGCTGGTTTTAGTCAGCTCCAGTACAGGCTTTTAAAGTATTTTCAGAGCTAAAACTGGGGACAGAAGAGGAGAGGGAAAATCTTGCAGCAGATCCTCATTTGATGGCAGCAGTTTACTCTAGATACGTACAAACAACGTTTTATTAGCCAGGTAGAAATGCAATACATTGGGGAGTGAAGAAAGCAAGAGCAGTAGCCTGCAACACACTCTTAAAAGCACAGCAGGCCTCACAGTCTGGAAGGGAGCAACACTGAAAATAATTTGGGAGCCCTGGCAGAAAGTCAACTGAACACAAAGGAGATCTACGCTAACCTTGACATGCAATATGGTGGTACAGGCTCCTGGAAGACTGGTAGTCTCTTTCTAAAAATGTGTTCCAGCTCAAGCATGTGCTGACTGCAGGAATTACTGTGTGAAATCCTAAATGTACAACCTCTTCATGGTCTGAAGCATAGACTTTATGGCCTAAACTGGACTACAGCCCTCAACCTATTGACCTGGGCATTTACCAGAGGGTGGGTGAAGTTTCTGGGGGGTTTGAATGTGGTTTGGGTTTTTTAATTTGAATTAGCAATGTGCTTTAGAAAGAAACCATTACAATGCCATCATCTGTGGAAACTGTAACGTGAGGACATCTTCTGGTAAACAAATTTCAGATTTTCTCAGAAACATGTTAATAGGTAAAGAACCATATCCCCTTCACAGACACACACACGCAGGGGGATACCATCATTCAAGAAAGAGAGAATGTAGGATCAAAAGACTTGTTTCATAAAACCCCATGAAGTACCCTCTGCTACACCTGTAAGCCAGCATGACTTCCTCTCAGTGGGTTACTCTGGTGCATCAAGATTGTTGCTTAATTTCTTATTTCTACATTTTGAGGTTGCTCTAAGTGGCATAACCAGTTCTCACGCATCAATCCTTCTACAGGGCTCTCGCCCAGGAGCTATGAAAATGAAAACCCACCACAGATCTGCTTCTCCATTTTCTCCCTGCTCGATCGCCTGTGACAGCAGGCCCCTGTAAGATGACCATGGGATGGGATTCAAATGGGCAAGCCCCAGTGTCCAGGAAGCTGGCACCCGAGTAGCAATGCAAGGTGTAGCCTAAGTGAGTCCATGTGCTGCAGCTGCTTTGGCGGGTGGGGAGAGCAGCGGCTCGCAGGCTCAGTGATGCTTGTCCCTAAGAGCTTCTAAGCTCGAAACAAAACTATTCCCACCAAGTATTGTTGGACTCATGGGGTCTGATGCTGTCAGTACTGCCAGTGCTCTTCAGGCAGCAGCAGCAATTTGGGAGCTCTCAGCCTTTTGGGATAAAGGCCTGGGGCTCAGGAGACTCAGGCTGGTTACACCAGCTGCACTTTGCTTCCCTTTTTTTATTTTCTAAGCCTATTAGGATACTTTTCACAACCCCCAACCTTGCTTTTCGAGTTACTTTCTATCTTCTAAACTTGGACTTGCACTGGAAAAGAAGATGGAGGCATTTCCCTGCTAAGTCTGAGGTTGTTCATTCAGCAGTCAGGGTAAGTTGTATCAAATTTTTCATTTAACATCATTAAGAACAGGATATGGAGCACAGAAATGCCACTTCACTATTCACAAATGCTACTGTCATTAGATAAGCTTCTCTCTGACAGCAGCATGGCAAAGAGATTGCTTTTCAAAGGTGTGATTGAGGCTGGAGTTCCTGAGTAAAAGAAATTTTGGGCTGACAAATCGTAACAGGCTGCAAAAGAAACCTGAAGCAAGCTCTTAAAGCTCAAGTCATGAGCTCATGCAGTCCCTAAATAGCTTAACAATAAGCCACTTTGGGCTATCTGGCTTCATTTCCTGGTGATGGAAGTGAGATTGGAAGGGGAAGAACAGCATATTCCTTTACTGGGCACAGACACTCAACGCTATATTTCTCTCAGAGCACAGCTACACAATTCAACACAATTCGAAATTGCATTGCGAGTGCAGTGCCAAGTCCTGCTCCAGAGTAGGAGACTGCCAAATAAAACACAGTTAAAGAGTCAGCATTCCTTTGTAAATGGATGTATTTGATATGTAGAGGACTAAGCGTCCATGTGATTGTTAGTGCTGAGCAAAATCTGGCATCGTGGGTGAAAATACTGTTTGCATTTCAATTTGCCCTTTCTAAATGTAGTAGTATTTCTACTGATGTTAGTTTTGATATGGAGCACTACTTCGCTCAACAAG